GTGTGTGCTGTGTACCAAACCTCTTTTGATTGTTAAAACTAAAAAGTGTGAAAAAATTGTCCGTGTAAATAGTGACCATGAATCAAAGGGTTACATTTAGTCCATGTCAGAATTTAATATTGTGTTTGGTCTCTTCTCCACAGATTTGAAACAATTTTGATTTCTCTGCACTGCTAGAGTAAATACAGAAGAAATTTTGAACAGTGGGCAATGTTTAATTGGCAATTAGTCAACTCAAACAATGCTGGTAGGAACATAAAATACATCTCAAAACACCATACAGAGTGAGTGCTTAGTGCTGAAAATGGGCAAACTGTGTGGCTGAGTGGTATCCCCCCTCACCACATTGTAGTCTGAACTCCCCCAGAGGGTCCTGCATTCTGATGGCTGTCTCGGCGGAGTTTATACCCATTGGGGCATCCCCACAGTACATCCCTACTATAGGGTATTCATAATGAATGTCAGACATTGGAGTTCCTGTTTCGTTATGACACTGAGCGTTGAAGTTTGAGTCTTTGATGTGGAGTCTCGTGTCAAGAACGGTTTCATTTCCTATACAGTTAAACCTGTAGTTTGTCTCACTCTTAGAATCACAGCCAACTGTTTCACTTAGGCTCTGTGCATTCTGCAACTTGTAAGAATCATCGTACTGGTAACTATTGACTGTGTTTGACTCGACTTCATGCATGTCTGTTCTGGACTCGTTCACTGCTGCGTAGTACAATAGCCTGGATTGTTCATCATTAGTAGGTGCTTGTAGCTTGACCCTGTCACTCTCCATTCCATATTCCATCAGACCCGCTGTCTGCTTGGATGCAATGGCGCACTGGATCTTCATGGCGTCATCCTGTGGTGTCCCACACTGGAGCGGTGGCAGAGGATCACATTGTGACATAAAACCGATGCTCCTGCTCATGTCTTCCATGGGGTTTGTGACTATGGTCGTGCTTGTTGTGTCCGGGGAACAGGTGGGAAACCTGCTGGAATTACTGTTGCTCTCGTCAGTGGTGATTGTGGAGGGAGGCAGCATCCAGTATGCTGACTCTGGCTCTGGTTTGACTGGACTTCGATGGATAGTTCCGCTCCCTAGGTCAAGCAGCATCGGAGGGGATCTGGCAATATCTGAGTTCTGGTTGTGATCCTGTTGCAGTATAGGAGCATAACCCTGCGATTTTAGGGGCTGGTCCAACTGGAAAATTTCCTCAGGCTGGAAGAGCTCACCTCCTAGTGGCAGAAAATCATATTGCTGAGGGCACACATTTGTGCCTGTATTTGTATCCTCGAAGTAACTGTTGGTGGCCGTGGAAGAGTCATCCTGATGGTATGGGAATGCGTTGATCTGTAGGTGTTCCTGCAGCCAGTATGAGGGGTCCAGATGAGGGTGTTGGTACTGTGTGCCATGATGCAACTGGGATTGACTTGTTGGTGACCTGTTGCAGATGCACTCAAATGGCGGACAGGAGCATGAAAAACCTGCAATAAAATATGCCATTATCACCAATTTGTTTTCAGATGTTAAATAATCAATTGCGAACATGAATTTAAATAATGAAGTCAGTGTAATGATGGTGGATGCATTCCAGTTCACTAAATTTAATAATATTACATAAATTCTTTGCTGGTTGCATTTCTATTTCCATTGATGTCCATTAATAATACAAAGTAATAGATAATTCAATAAGTTACATAACCATAACTTCAAGTAGTGTCGTATAAGATTTTCCCTCAACAGTTAATAGTCTGATTAAGTTCATTGTTATGGAACCTACAGGTTAATCATTATCATCAAATCATCATCATAAAAGCCCATCCTTGCACTTAACCCTGAAGCATTTCATATCTTCACAACCTAATTTTCTAAGATCAAATTTAATATTATCCTAACTATTTCTAGGTTTCTAACTAAATATTCTATGCATTTGTTGTTTCCTTAGTACAGCCTACAAATCCAGTCCATCTCTTCTCCAAGCTCAAGCCTTGAACGAATGTTTCTTCTTAGTGGTATGCCAGCCCTATTTTGTGTATTTATTAGCAGGCTTGAATTAAGCCACATATCCTATTCCTCAGAGCCCTAGAAGTGGCAGGGACGCTGTGCTGGCACACTTACCTTTCTCAACATCTGAAATTAGAGGTGGAGGTGGGTCCAAAGGACAGAGTAAAGACCTTGGGTTTGTATCTGCATCAAGTTCACTAGGCTGCTTTCCTTCTCGTAGTGACAGCAACTGCAACAGAAACCGTTTATGTCAGTTTGAGTTCTGATCTTCTGGGACTGGACAGATGATATGAAGTACAACAAATCCGGCCTCTTCGAGGGTTTTGCGAGTGTCATGGAACGGTAGATATCTACAACAGAAGATGGCACTTGTGTTTCAATCGATCAATAATCGATAGTGCTATTCGTGTGCTGCCTGATGTGAAGTATGATGTTATCATGAAAATGGCAGCCGAAGTGGGACTGTGGCCACAAGTGGTGTAAATCAATGTGAAAATTCATAAATGATCCACGCAAAGTTTAAGTGAACAAATAACAACATACGTTTTTATGTAACCTTCAGATCGTCTGGACTGTTAAGTTTTCTGTATGAAGAAGTAACCGGCGTAATGTAAGTACTTCATGTTATCCTTGTACTTTTTCATAAGTGTGTTAAAGAACGTGACGCTGAAGATACCATTTTTATTGAAAATTGTGTTCAGTTTCTTCATTGTAATATCATTTATTTTCATTGTCTAAAGAACTGTTGTCACTATGTCAAGGTCCAAACTCCAAAGTTATAAATATGAGGAATCGTTGGAAAATATGTGGTTGTCAGTTGCTTTTAATAAATGCAGTACCTTTTAGAAGGGAGATATGTTTGGTCAACCACGCAGTTTCAGAAGAAAGTGTGTGCGTTTGACGAATTGTGGGCCACAGAGTGCAGCGGTGATGATTGGCTTTTGCGTGTCAAGTCACTTTCGCGCTATCTTAAGCACCCAAAGGACGTAGCGTCGAATAAATGTCTGAGTGAGATCAATTACAGCGCAAAAAGTAATATCGGGAAAGCTTATTCAAAATGATCAGTGCAGTTGAAGGTCACTGTTGCACATGAGGTTGGCATGATCAGCGTTGAAGTACAAGTGAGGGGATAAAATGTTCGAAACAATAAAATCGAATACATACAATAAGAACGACAAATAAGGCGAAAAGGTGAACCACCCATTGAAACATGTCTCAGTGATGTTGAATGCAGTCGTATTTACAAATGCGTCACATGTTTTGCGGATAGCATAACCAGGTGTCTTCCAGGCATAAAACAGTAAGTTATAAGGTGGTACTCTTAACTCATTACAAATCAACGACTTAATTTTTGTTATGAAGTTGCGATCGTAAGCAGACTACGTGATATAGGATTTGAGACTTTCGCGGCGAGTACAATTAATAAAATCTTCTCGGGTAATCAGCCGCGTCAGAACCCTGATGATGGGGACAGAGTTGGTTCCCGAAACGTCGGTTTACTACGGTAACCAGTTGACGCGGCTGATTGCCCGATAAGATTTTATTGAGACTACGTGATCTTCAGTCCGTTGTATGTAAATTTTATATTGATGTTCTCTGGAGCAGGGCTGTGGAGTTGGAATCGGTAAAAATGTACTGACTAAGACCTCGTTATAAAATCTTAAGAACACTTTCGCTACCGTGTGAACCTTACGCTTAGGGTGATTCAATGACGCGTTGAGCGACGTGGTGTGGGGAATAATGCTTTGTAACTTTGGCTCTGGTGCCTTAGAATACAAACTGTCTACAAATCAACCGATTTCTGCAATAACCATTAGACGGAGTCGGAGGTTTTAGTACCGACTCCACAGCCCTGCTCTGGGGAATGAGTAATACAAACACATTTTTACGTGACTTTTGTGGCCAGCCCGCGAATCAACTAGAAGCAAGACTCTTTTGTCGATATGATCATAAAATCTTCGCAATGGCTTTGTGTCGTGCTGGCTTCGACAAAATATCTTCAAAGTTCAAATCCTTGATCACCTGATCGTTGTTTTTCTGTATGATATTTTCAAACTTTCCTTCAGTTTCGTACAAGCATCGGGTGCGCTGTAGAGGGCAGTGAAACGACTGTGTCTGCTGCACCTGGTCGACCAAAACACATCTCTTGCAAGGAAGGATTTACACCGAAGCAGCCAGCAACATGCGACAGGCGATACTACTCGTATATCATATCGCCTTCTTACAATTTACAATACAGCTAGCTATCAATTTGTTAATTTGTTAAAATGTCCGTGAATGAAATGATTGTTCCGTACCAACTTAATAGTTCTGCTGTGATACCCTGCACCAAGATGGTCCATTGCATGATTCATTGAGGCCCATAGCGCTGGTCGATAAATGTGGTTAGGCAGAAAAGCTGCTTTTGATACGTATAGCCTGTCATGTATTGCGTATGGCCTATCTCCTATTGCTTAGTAGTCGCTTCTGTGTGAATCCTGCCTGAGACATTAAATAAAAACTGGGTTAAAGAGTTAGTGTAGCTTTTCCATTTTATTTTAATGTAGTTCAGGATGTATATACTGAAGAATTTGTTTCTTTTATGTTATGTAAATATGACCTAGAATATTGCTTACTATTTTTGATCAATGTTCGTGAATATATTTTGAACACTTCAGTATTAAGAAAACACATTGGTATTGCAATGATTACCGGATAACGTACATACTGGGGCTTACATCTTGAATGATTTTATAACGTCTTATTAAGTGCAATATAAATTAAGAATATGATGGATAGAGCATAAATAATAGGAAAGTAGTGGTCTTGAGTTCAGCCTGCTTTGTTAATGGCACGCAATAAAGTTCCTTGCTTGAGGAATAATTCATCAGTGAACTTCGCTTTTATCGAAAATCGTGTTGCATATGTACAACGGACTAAGTTGCAGTCGATTTATAATCGATAATTTCATATTTCGTAACTCCATCGTTAGTCGATCAGGGAGAACGTTAAGCAATGTAATTGTAGTTAATTCGGACGTTTTATGACGCTTGTATGGTGCACAGTCAAGGTGGAGAAAAAGTTTTCGAGGCTCATGCGTGTTCTGGAAAAAATAACGATTGATGTATCGAAAGAAATGCCGAAGGTGGAATACGACTTGAGTTATGGGCTAAAGACGTACGAATTACACGTACACAATGTAGCAATTCTTGAACGATCCGTGGAAAGTCTGAGTGACATGAGCGGTACGCTTTAGGTGGGAATTAGAATATCTAGACCAGCGTTTCTCAACAGGGGTTCCCCGGAACCTTAGGGTTCCGCGAGAAATAGTGATGAATAGGCTAATCATATGTAAATGTATTTTTGAGTCATTTTTATGTTTAATTTTATATTCGTAATTTTACTATACACGTACGACATATTCTCGGATAATTTTTGTTTATTATAATAAAGTCTTCAACCTGTTATGTCATTTAGAAATATAATGATCATAAGAAATATATTTAGCGACGTCTATACGTGGCGGATTCACGTATCATCGATTGACTGAAGTAAATTTTATTATTTAAATTGGCCTCAAAAATAACATTTCCTTGACACATATATTTGTTCATATGACATTTTACTTTGATTTACCTTATGCTTTTTCAACATTGTCAATAAACTATTTAGTTATTGTAGTAGTTATTATCTGTTTTCGTTTTGTTTGTGTGTGATATATACGATATTGGTTATTTATGTTTATTTTTTGTGTGAATGAAAACCTCCGTATGAGGTCTCTTGAACAGGCAGTTCGATTTCAGTTTCTTTTTCCCCAATAAACTCGAGAAACACGTAAGTTATTTTTTGCTTAAACCAGCTATCAGAAAAAATATATTATGTTTTCCTTATGAACTTTAAGTTTATAGAAGAGAAAGAAAGATATTAATAATGATATACAATAATTTTTATATAGGGGTTCCCTGAGACATGAATATTATTTCAAGGGTTCCGCAAGGGTAAAATGATGAGAAACGCTGGTCTAGACAGTTGAGTTAGATCTATTGTACAAGAAAGCCAGTCGGAGTAATGTGCAGTGGTCGCGACCATTTTGACACGCTAATAACTTGCGAGTAGAAGGAAAATGAAATGCACATGCTACGTAAACTAAAGGCATTACCAACGTAGGGACAGAGGCAGCGACTTACAAAGCTCTGCCGCTGGGAAATAATTTTTAATAATATAGTATTTACAGCTTCTTTATCTGCTACCCCTCCCACCCTCTGATCACATTGGCTTTTACTTCTGACGGATTTGGAATGCACGATTTTGTCCCAACCACTGCAAGTGCCCTTTCCAATGAAATGGCTTTTTCGGCAGCTTTATTTGACAGAAAACCCATAAAACACTATACTTAAATTGAAAACAGGGAGGGTTACTATTCCTGCATACTTAATAGGTCAATAAATGACTTTTAAATGTTTAAATTACTGCTCCATAGATAATATACGACTTTACTACGTTTCATGAAAATATGGTAATTGTATCCAATATATTAATTAATATGGAGATAGTCGAAGCACTTTTCAACTTGTGGGTTGATTGTCTGACGAATTTCCCAAAAGTGTTACGCTGTGCGTACATTTACTTATACAGGGTGTCTCAGGAGGAAAGGTCAATATTTTGGGAGGTCATAGTATCGGTCATTCTAATCAAAAAGTGTTTATGTACATGTGTCCTATTCCGAACGGTTTCCAAGGTAGAGCTATTTCACTGTATAGTTACAAAATTTTTGATAAGAAAGAGATATTACGTACTGTTTCTAGTGACAAAGTTGGTAGAGCTTACCTAATATAATACATTTTCGGAAATTCCACCGTCAACATCAATGCACTTTGCAACTCGTGTGAGGACACCTTGACGTTCCTTTATGCGGGGGATAACATCCAATAGGGAAGGACAATATTGGGCGCCATATCCAAACCACTGTACAGTAAAATAGCTCTATCTCAGAAACCGTTCAGAATAGGACACATGTACATATACACATTTTTGCTTAGAATGGCCGATATATAGCAAACATAACGACGAAGCGACATTTTGAGAATAGTTTATATCCGATAACTTACGCATAGATGGAATTATAGTAGTGAGCATCATGCATAAATTTGTCTTATACCTCTCTGTCATACAGACGTTTCGGATTTATTTATATTTTTATCGTTCTTCACGAAACAGATGAATAGGTAAACATTTATGAGAATATAATCTCAGTTAAATGGCGATCATAGCCCTGAAGAGAGTCTTACGCAAACATTCGAGAAGGACGTGCAGTTACCTTGGAGCCAAGAGCTGCCTCTCTTGCCAGCAGCACCGCTAGGCCCCTTACCCGACGTCCCGCCCCTAGACTGCGCCGCGCTTCTGACGTGGACTTGGCTTCAGGTCGAGGGTGGTCATGTACGCCCTTTGCCTAAGGCATAATACGCAAATAATAATAATTAATTGTTTCAGGAACGAGCAACAAACTCGTTGCCTCTTTCGACTCGACTTCATAACGACAGGTTTCACCCTTACTTCGAACCGGGTGTAAACAAAATAGCTTGATTCCAAAATAATTCTATTGGCTCCTGGCCGAAGAACACTATTGTAAGTCATGGAGTAGTCCCATTTTAAGGTGCATTTGTCCTATAAACGGCTTTGTAAAACACACGAAAAAATGCTGTTTACCCTAACTTATACAGTTTGAAAATGCATATCAGCAATATACCAGTCACAACAGAGTATTGCTGAAGAATATCACTTACTCGGTGATATTTTGTTTCTACCCAGTTTGAAATAAGAGTGAATGGAGTATAGTCTTCTTTTGTGGAACCCTAAGGTTCATTACCATGTTCACAATGGCCTGCCAGATGAATTTAATCTACACGTTCCAACTCTATTTCCCTAAGATTTATTTTAATGTTAATCTTCCGTCTAGGCCTATGACCAGATGTTCTTGAGTGGTCTCTCCCATTCAGGCTTTCCACCTAAAACACTTCAGGTGTTTGTCACCTCCTCATTGCGCGCTCCCGTTCATTTACTAGCACAACCTGTGTTCTTTGCTGGTCACCTGTGTTTCATGCCATCATTCGCCGTATGTGTAATTCCTCACCTGGAAGAAGATGGCGTGGTCTGTGTGTCTCCAGAAATGCGTGACCGGGTATCCACAGTGGCCGCGACAGGCCAGTATCTCGAGACGCCCAGAGCATTGGCGGTTGGGGCATGGCTTGCCTGAAACGGAAACACGATTGTCTGTAGGCCTACTAGTCTGAAGGTGGGCTGCTGAATGATGGGTCTCCTGTAGTAGTTATTCAGCCATCAGGAGTCTCCTTGAATTTTATAGACTTCGAAGATTCATCACCAGATCACGTGTTTGGATACTGTCCTGAGATAGATTAACTCAGGACGCATCTTCGCAGCAAATTTACATCCCACACGTTTTGACATTATCCTCCCATTTACTAACGATTTACTTCAAAATGATCTCATCACCTGCGGTTTTCCAATTTTGTAGCATTTCTTATTTCCTCTGTGTTCCACAACCCCTTCACGTCTTGCTTTCTATTTTTACATAGAACGGGACAATATTGGCTGTAAAGAATCTAGGCGCCGCAAAGGTGTGTTTTTCTGTCACCATTGATCCTGTCTGTTCATTCAAGTTTACTTCTTTAAATCATATTTATCTGCGATTAACTAGACCAGTGGTGTTAAACCTTTTTTGTTCGCATACCCCCAGATATAATTTCTCTTCAACTTTGTACCCCCAAAGTTGTTAGAGTATAATTCAAGTTATACATAGTATATAATCTACATCTAAAATAAATTAAATAAATTGCATTACTGATTATTCGGTGTTTATCATAAAATAATACTTTTTTTTTAAATTTCACGTACCACCTAAGATGGGTTCGCGTATCCCCGGGGTACGAGTACCCCAGGTTGAATACCACTGAACTAGACTACAGAAGTCTTCAGACATAAATGGTTATATGTTAAGTTTAATATTTTTCGTCCTATTTGAGCTATTTATGAAAAGTGTGTTAAAATTCGACTAGGGCTCAGTGACGATAAATGGACGCCGAAGCCATGCATAATTCTGGTAAACACAAAACAAATGACTGTTCGGCTCTTTCACGACTCAACACCTGCTCGTGCTCGGAATATGAATACAATTGAGTTTTTTTTTCATTTGCTCCAAGTCTTAGATTTCAGACCGTATGAGGTTGCTGAGCAAACTAAGAATAGAAGCACTGAAATGAAGAAAGGTGATGACAAAGCGAAGCAGTGAATGAGATTAGATCAAGATCAGGAGATAACCAGTTTAATATTACAAGCGCTTTGTTCATGCTGCCGGCACTCCGTCATATCCGCAACTCGATTAAGTCCAGATGACCTGTGCAGGCGTGAATTACATAAAACGTCCCATGCTCCGATGTAAAAGGTCCTTAAAATTGTTCTACATAAATTAACATGGAAAAGGCTAGACAGTTTTTGCCAAATTCTTCAATATCAAATTTTATTGCTGTCGGTACATCCGTTTCCGAGTTGTTTTATGCATACGGATGGACGGACGGACAATCTGACTGCCAGAACGATTTTAATTGACGCTTCGCAGCGTTATGGTCGCCCATGAAAATAATAATTGTAGTAACAATGCCAAGTTTTGTGGTCATGTCCTGTTAATTTTACGTAGTGGTAATTTCTATCACCTGAAGCAAGCTCGGATAGTGTATTCTTTAGCACAGCATTTATCAATCTATGGTACGCGTACCACTAGTGGTACGCGAACTATGTAAGGAAATCAAAAGAAATTTTGGCGCAAATGAGTTTTTCCTGAACGAATTTGGTTAGTGGTACATTAACGTGTTAAATTAGAACTAGCGGAATACACATAAGGGAATACGATTTTTATGTTATGCAGAATAGCACGACATTCACATGAAATTTAATCTGAATCCGTCCAGTGGTACTCCACTTGAATCGACTGGACAGACAGTACCAGTCCATAAAGCTCTCTCGCGTGTAGCAAAAAACACATAATATAGGACAAAATCAGCTCACTGTGCTATACAATTTGTGCATTTACTATGAACACCGGCGCAGAGTTCGATAGGTCACGTAGCCTACCTTGTTGCTTCTTGCGTGCCTTGTCGCATATGGCTGGCCGCAGGTGAACTTTCTCGCCGTTGGGCAGGGAGCAGCGCATGGAGCACACCAGCACTCCCAGACACGACTTCTTGAGTATGTGCACGTTATGGTTGTTTGTGTTGCGCATCGCCCAGCCAGAAGCGTGACGCTTTGCCTCCTCGCTCGACGCTGGGTACACCAGCCGGCAGTGGCCGTCCGTCCACTCTTCCCAACGGTTGTACTCGCTCACCTGCGCAACGGATTTTTGAATGCACTTCGTGTAACTGTGGCCATAACCGCTTCAGTATGCCTAATGAATGTCTATTGAAGATTCTTTCGGTTTTTAAAATGACCACAGTGCAAAGGCGACAATGTTAAGAATGCTAGGAGATATATGGACCTACAGCCACGCCACCATACACCATGTGATTTTATTTAAGGGGGATTCCATTGCAATGGGTGATTTTAAAGTAGATAATTGGAAGCAATTCCTCTGAAACTTTTGTAGTCTTATCTGTTAGGCAACAGCTCTTTAACAAGTAAATACAAATTAGAACACTGGCCTTATCACGACGAGATAAGTCACAAAATATTCTCCATGAACCAAACGATAATGGCGACTCACAATTAAATGCCGTCAAAATCTGTACATTTCGACCGATATATCACAGAAGTCCTCACTTAAGCTTTACTTGTGTAACCTCTAATAATAAGGAGAATAACTGAACCTGCGTCAAATATGAACTTTCATTTTTATTTTTCTGAAAAAAGAAAGTAAAAAAAAACTTATTCTAAATCTCTCAAAAATTTAATTTTCTTCAAAATTTGCACTTAAGTACATTAATTCATTTTTGAGTGTAAAATACTTTCTGTAATATGCTAAAAGTAAATAATCATAAATTAGTAGATTATTTTTAATATCATCTGAGCATTGCCACGTAACTTAATAATTTTTATTAGCTGTCCGATTCTGTCTTGAGGGCCGTATTTTGCGAGATTTCAGGTTCTCACGGCGGCGAATATGAAGGTAATTGTCTTCTGGGATGTTGAAGTTAACTGACAAGATGTGCTCTGTTGATGGAGGCTGCAAGAACCTCTGAAATTTATACCAGTAAAAACGTTGTTAATATCTGGTAATGAGAACAGCGATGCCAAAATATACGATAAAATACCCGTCCGTAGGCTACTCTTATTCCGGATGGTATTTGTATTCTAAAGCTGCCCCACTTTACGCCATATAGGCACTTGGGGGTGAGTAGAGGTTTAGATTCTACTCATCCTTAACCTCGGCACTAGGTGGGGGTGAGTGGTTAGTGTCACGCCCGGGCCGTCCTTTACCCCCGGGGAAAGGACCTTGGTACTCATTGAATAGGAGGCTGGGTGGGCCCCAGAACTGGTCTGGATGCAGAGGCTAACAACCTTGCACCATAAAAAGGAAGATGTTTCGAAACCTCAATCAAAGCCTCGGACAGACGGACCTAACAGAGGACCGAACGGAAGAGGAGAATTGAGGAGGCCCTGGACCGAATACGGACCGGAGAGCCATAGCAGAAGAAGAAGTTACATCTGAATTATCATTTCTCAGTCTTACATTGATTTTGTTGTCTTTTGTTTGTGTTCTTTTCTTTTTGTACACAGAATTTAATCTTCTTTGTTTTATGAGTTTCATTCACGTAGATTTTTTCTTTTCCTTTGGCATGAGCTTGATTCGTTTCCTGTTTGGCTGAAACAAATCGAACTCCTTTTGGTTTGGCCTCCTCCTGAGAATTTCTTCACAGCAACATGATTAAGAAATTGGCAACGTGGAACTTATGTGGCTGTTGGTACGTCGTTTATGAAATTATCATCTGTGACTGCGACAAAATTATTCTACGTTACTACAAAGCGTCTGATTTTACCCATTCTATGAAAATGGTATTCGGGGAAGTCCCTCACCCTTGGAATGCTGGAGTCGTTGATGTCCCAGTCCGCGATGTGGTGTCTGGGGGGAACTCCAGAGGGCGCCAGTCTGCAGTGCGAGTTGCTCATAGCCGGCGGCGAACCGGGGTCCCTCCTGCTCCTGTGGCAACAAACCAGTCTTTAGTGTTCTTCGTCCGCCTATGCGAGTATCCTCAGACTCGTGAAACTCTTGAACTTCAAAACATTTATCGTGTACTAGCAGCTGCATGATCCCCCACCCCCTCTTTAACTAATATAGTACATCCCAGGTCCAATGCGGGGGACACGTTCCTCGAAAGCGCGTTTTCGGTAAATCCGCGTTGGAAGTTCGTAATATTGTATGGGATTAATGGTGATATGCGAACGCGGCCGTGGAAAGTCAGAGTAAATAAACAAGAAATCTTAAATGCATTGTAATGATATTGATGATATGGGAAGAAGAAATCGCTGAATGACAGTTGATCTGAGTATTTACACTTTTACATACGCTGAATAAAACAAACCAAGTTTATTATGCAAATACACAGGCCCACGCAAAAGCTAACCCGTCTTAATCTTTCTAAACAGCAGTATTCTGCTAAAGCGTGTTTGGCAGACCGCGTAAAATGGAATTTTCCGCGTTCAGCGTTTATTTTAATGTGTGTAATCGAATACGCTTTAAAGAAACCCGCGTTGGAGAGGGTTTACTGTAATTATTTTGGTAATTTCTCTCACAAAGAAACGAATATTGTAGATGACGACAACGCTCTAGAGATGTGTTCCGAAAGCACGGCGTTGAAACTCTACCAGTTTTCTGGCTGTGATGTCGTGGTTTTCCTCAGTATTATATAAGTGATGCAATAGTACCTCTTAATAGATCATGACCGCCTGTTTCCAAACCATCACACTGAATGAGATTCTTGTGGTTTTACTCAGTCCCTCCAGGAAATCCTGGGCTGGTAGTGTACCTTAAGTGGGCCACGACAGCTCCCTTCCACTTCCCTATCCACTGTTCACGAGACTTTCATAATTCTCCTCAGTCTGTAAAAAATTCTGCAATCTCAGTCCCTATCCTTCAATAGACTATTGTCGCCTACTTGCAAATCATTATTTATAATCAGTAGATTTTCGTTTTATTTTACAGTAGATCATAGCCAACCCTCTAAAGCCAAAGAATGTGGCAGTGACTGCAGACTGGCCGTTCACGGGTCACAATAGTGGTTCTAACATAACACTGTTTTTGCCAAGCAGAATATGTAAATAATAAGATATACTATTATGTCAAGAGGACACATTAGGAAATCTTTATGACACCTGATGTGTAGGCAGAGCCGCCGAGGACATGTGGCAGATGGGTTGCCTTTGTAAGGGGACCATCTCTTACGGGGATTCCAGCACAAAAAGAGAGCTATAGAACGGAGTGGACACACATCTGGGAAACCGGTTAATGTTACTACAGCTACCGTATGAATGAATCGTGAATAACTTCCGATGAAAACGCGAATGCAGCTTCCTTCTTGATGGGCGCTGCCGAATGTTTGCGTTCCGAGTCGTGAGTTCTTACCCTAATTACACAAAAACCTAGCTATAGACATTTTTTTAAAGTATCCTACAGAAAATTATTCTAGCGTGCATCTATAGCGCGAAAGAGGAATGCGACTTCTATGAAACTCGGTTTACTGGTAATGCTACGTTGGATCAGCGACGTTGTGATACGTATTTCACGAAATCTAGTAATAAAAATTGCCATGCCTTCAGATGCGGCCGTTTAAATTTGTGGAGAACAGAAATAGGGCCATAATATTTAACAATAGATGGAAATCTATAAATATATTCAATAGTGAACTTCAGTATGTAATGAAAAATAAGTTCCTGACTTTTTTGAGAAAGTAATTTTTATCCTGTCGCCCTCGGTGGACTAGGACTAGCGTACTCGCCATTGGACCCAAGGTTGATGGTTCAAATCCGGCCGAGGTCGATGGAATTTTAAGGTCAATAAAAATCCGTAGCACGACTTCCTTCGGAGGGAATGTAAAGCCTCACCTTACGAGCATGAACGAGGTCTTTCGTAAGCAAAATGTAGGTCTTGCAATGGGCTGATCACTCGTCCAAATGTCTAAATAGATCAAGAAACATCCGAAAGGAGGCGGCCAAAACCCGCACTGGGTTGTAGAGACACAGATAAAAAAATATCATAAACGAAAAACTGCCATAAGAATCTATCGAATTAGATATCGTTATACGGACTTGCGAAAGCTTACACACCTAAAATAAAGTACATCAAAGTTAACTCTTTCATGCGTCTCTATAGTCAGTCCTCGCGAGTCTTAAACTTTACAAAAACTTCAGTAAGCGCTATTTAATTTTGAAATTAATAAATACTGCGGGTGAGAGTTGGTTGCCTACTACGACCGTCAACATGTTGTTGACTTTGGCATGTAATTACAATGATGGTATAACTACAATTTATAGGACTATGCAAACAAGAAAAAAGTTAATAGTAGTCTACAGAAAGTTAAGACCGGTTTTCTTATCAATTATGTGACAAGTAGTTGTGAACACAGTCCTCAAATTTTACTGTTTGGACGAAGCAGGCAGGAGAAAAGTTGATACTTCTTTTACTTAGCCAATTAGTTCCTTGCCTAGGATCTATATAGGCTCACTACTTGAGTATACATCACACGTAGGCCGAGGTTAGTGTTAACAACCTGGAAATACTACTCAGAGTTGATGTAATGTCCGAATGACTCATTAATGGCCAAATTGATAGTTTTTTTAAACATTTTACAAGGCGTCTTTTTCCCTCAAGACGCTTCATCGGACGGTCATCGGCCCTTTAAAAGAAAATAATTCACAACTCCTTTTTCACTAGGCTACTCAGTTCAGAAGCCAATTACACTACTTTCTGCAAAGACGCTTCTTCCTTGATCACAAACGTTTATAATTCCATAAATTTAGCGACGCTTTTAAAATATCAGTTGTTTAATTAGACCTAAATTCCGGATATTGCGATGATGCTTAGTGATGAATTGGAAAGGATGGCGTAGGTGTAAAGTTCTATCCTAGAATTTGCCTAGAGGTACTGATGGAAACGATTCCCTGGTCTAGGTCTCAACCCAGTACCTCCGCTTCTTTCAATGCTTAAACTACGTCTTAGACCTGCTAAAATTGAATTTGAACCAAAGTAGTAAGTAGGCTAGCCTTGATTAACAGATAGGCCTATGATGGAAGTCCCTTCGCATCGCGTAGACATGTTCGACGGTAATTAATTCGCGCGTCTAATGCATGTGACACTGCAAGGCCAAGAGGCGCTTAGCTTGACTCCAGGACTCAGATTTAGGGCCAAGGCGACGAAGGAAAATGCTTTGTCTTTGTTCTTCATTTTCTTCAGAACCATGAAGAAGGTTACGATCTCAGACTACACCACACTTCCCAATTAGTAGTTCATAATTGCTGTTAGTAGCCGTTCATGCTTATGTCACCTGAACCAGTGGTGATCGTCTTGGATGGTCGAGGCCCTTCTTGCTGGCTGCACGCGTATCAAGAGCTCTTTGCGGTGTTGCATATCAGCCTTTTCAATAATCAATGAACGCGGACTAGGCTTACTGAGTAGGATTTGAGGTCTTCACGGTGGTGAGTCGGTAGACGTCTGTCTTCTGGGTTGTTGCGCCGTGTAGTCGTGTACAAGTTTACCAGACCACATGGCGCTACAACCCAGAAGACAGACATCATACGCTTACCGACTCTGGAAAATGTAGTTTTTCCTGGCTTTAGTCTCTACATCTTTCTGTTTAAAGATCTGTTAAGAACGACTGTGGTTATGAATGCTGCTTAGGCAAGACCTATATAACGACACTGTTCCAACTGTGCTATTTTATGGTGTCTAATAAAACGAAAAGATTATTTTTGTAATTAAGTTGATCTATAGGTGGGGATTTGGAAGGAGGGGATTTTAATGTTTTATGGTAGGCTGCTATTCTAGAAATTATTATGGAGTAACTGGATAAAACCACTACAAACGTCAGGATAGCCTATAATTCGTCGTGATTCGAATCGGATAACTTTAGAATGCACGTTTAGAGCGTTACGAGTGCCTAACCTGTATTGTTTGGCAGGAAGACTGTAAATAGAAATCAGTTGAGTATAAACTGGTCATAGATTTTTAATCGGCTTTCACATGAGCTGACGGGAGCCATCGGGAAGTTGTCATTAAAATCGATATATTGTCCGGACAACTTTGGCATAGAAGGGACTGGAGTACAGGACCCCACTTAAGATATTCGTAATCACCACGGTCTGTGGTTCGATTCCAGACACATAGTTTTAATGAGGCACTTCTCAATCACTGTCATACCAATTTTCAGATTAACCTTAAACTGCTTGTCAGAAAAGATTCCTCAGATAGTGAAGAAAGATGGAGCGTGATGCTTACCTAAGATCTTTAATTCTTGCTAAGCCTCCAATTTCACTGTTTGTAGAAGTTCAATATGTAAGTTAAAAGTTTTGTAGGCCTATATTTGAACTAGAAACAGCGCAACTTAGTGTGTCGTTGGCTTCACTGTTGCTCCAAAACTGGATGGGAGCTCCGTGCGTTCTTCAGGCCGTGTCGTAATATTTGAACATACCAGAAGAAAGTTTTCTTATCACTTTTCCCTCAAATGATGCCAGTCTTGTTTCAGCCTTTTTCCTTGGGCAATGTTATATAAAAAGTTGTCCCCGATAATGTGTAAATTAAATGACCAGACTTGTAAGTGGCCTTCATATAAGTCAACTCACTCTTTCTTGGACATCACTACTTAAACTGCTGATTAAGATCACAGGATGTGTTTATGCACTTGGTCCATTTGAAGTCAAAGCTCGCCTAAACAATATTTAATGTAATTGAGTCCGTACCTTAAAGAAAACACCACACATCACTATTACAAAGGTCAACTGGTTAACGCTGTTCACGGAAATAATCCCTGTTTAAAGTGAGAATCATACGAAATTCATTAGTACAAAATGTGGAGTCCCCACTGGGCTTTAAAGGGTATTAAGTCCTTGGTCATTATTATCGTCCCTTTTCTTGCCAGTACACTTGGCCCGCTTCCATGATGATGACGAATGAGAAGGAACCACGAAAATTCCCAGAATATCGAACAC